CACATGTCGAAAACACGTGGAAGCCGAAATATTTTTTTAGTTTAATGAGGAACACTTAACTACTGCGAAAAACTTCCTTGGAAGACCACCTTGTGTCTCTTAACTTACAGAACAAGCCGTTTTGGTAGATTCGAGGCATTCGGCAACAAAATGAAGTGACATCCTTAAGCATGCTCCTGGATAAGCTTTTCTAAGGAAGCCATTAGTGGCAACAATTCCTGCACCAAACCTTGTCAACAATTAATAAAGTGACATCCTTAAGGAAGCTCATTGTATTCTGGATAAGCTTTTCTAAGAAAGCCATTAGTGGTGTTATATATACAAGACTGTTTAGTTTAAGTTATTATTTAGTTTATTTAGTGACTTAATATTTAATGATTATTTAATTTTCATAATAAGAGTGTTAAAGGTTTATCATTTTAAAAGCGATAGTTATGACAAGTTTAGTTATGTAACTCTATACAAGTCGTACATTGTGTATGGAGTTTAATTGTTTGTACTAGGCTTTAGTAATATTGTTGACGTCATTTTACCCGAAGCTTCCAAATTCTTCTTGTTATATGTAATATTATTGTCACTAGGGGGCTAGATATTTCTAGATTTTTCTGTCGCATGTTATAAATACATGCAGATACAGAACCAAAGAAAAGCAAATTAAGCGAGAGATAATTAGACAGATCTTAGTGATTGTCAGTTTAGCCGTGATGGGCGATTTCTAAAGAAGTTAAAGTTAAGTCAGAAAAACATTAAGTTAGTGAAAGCGAAGTTAGACTGCGTGGTTGTTAGTTTAGCTGTAACGGGCGATATCTAAAGTGAGTGTTACAATGATATTGTAATAACAGAGATAAAAAAAGAATAATTTGTCTTGTCAAAGGGTGTTCTAAAGTAATTGAACCCACCTTTGTGGACTTGGATGAAAAGGAGACAATTATTTGAAGTTCTGTACACAAATGTGGTAACACACAAGGTAACATAAGTGAATATATCGCGGATTGTGCAATAAGAAACATAGTAGAGAAAAAATAATTCGTTTTGTCACTTGAGTTCTAAATAATTGAACTAGCCTGTGTGGACTTTTGATAAGAACATAGAATTATTTTACACGCTAGATACAACTTTGATAACCTATAGTGAAACAAACTTTTGTACATATGTTTGACTTGTTTTGAATATATTATTTTAAAACGAGTGGATTGTGTGCTGTTCGTATATTGTTGACATTTATCGCCAACAAGTAACAGACACCTACTATAAAGAATCCGGCCCTATATACAAAAACCCTGATAAGTGGCAACAATTTCTGCAACAAACCTTGTCCGCAACTGCCAAAGTGACATCCTTAAATAAGCTCACTGTAACTTGGATACGCTTCTCTAAGGAAATCACTGGTACAACGATGAACAAGGACCGTAGTTTCGACTCGTGCAACATGCTGATTGACAAACTCCTTACGTATTTGTAGTCACACCCTTCTCAGATTTATTGACCTTCAATTATTGATGCACTTCGATCAAAAGAAAATTTAGCGATACTTTTGATTCGAAAGTTTCAAAGTCATGGTTTGGCCTGGATTATGATGGCAAAACGAGTCTTACATTCATTCTAGTTCAAACCCATTTTCAAGAACAACCCCTTTCTTTTATTTGCCCAAGAAATTCTGGACCATAAATACAATATTTTTCAAGAAGAAAGAACAATATGCCAAACCTCCAAAACCAAAACAGCTTGAAAGGTACAGAATGGACTACAACTGCCTCATTTACCATCACAAAATCCCTATCTGAATCCTACTGAACACATATGGGAATACTTTGATAGGAAACCTAGAGTAAAATGGTTATGGTCAGCATCTCAGCAACAATTACAGAGTTGTATGCTTAATCTGTGAAAAAAATCTAGACCACTGTGCTGTTGAAAATCTGAATGATTTCGTGCATAAGTGACTGTAGGTCCTTTGAGAGTCTGGAAGAGGTCCTGTCAGATATAGAACGTTAGAAACATTACATACTATACCTTTATGTTTGGTAGTAAGTAGTTCTCTGACCATTAGTAGAGGACAAATTTAGTGTGCAGAGATCTGTATAACTGACGTTTGTTTGTTGTACTTTCTCTCTCTCATGTTGATTCCTAACTGGTATTTAGCTAAAAACTGAAATTCCAACATTATTTGGTATTTCTTAGAAAACCATAGATAAGACGCTCTATGTTGCCAAAAATTTTCGGACAACACAGACTCAGCCAGTCGTGGGTCCATTTTCAAGTGAATCTCAAGTTACATTGTTGCGTAGAGTTTAGAAAAGACAGCACTTGCCACAGCCAGCCAGAAATCAAGATACCGAGGAAAAATGAATTCATAGAATCTTTGAAGTGAAATGATTATTGATTTAAGCACGGTTTTTATAATCAGTTGGGCATTTAGCTTGGTATTGTGATATGTGAGTGTTTTAAGCTATCTCTTTGAAATTTAGCGGATGAAAATATTCAATAATTCATACAAAGTGAAAAAAAATTATTACAGAGTTTCTTTACTTCTAAGCAAACAAGTTGCGTCAAATCTGGACATTCATTAATCTTGCTCTCAGGCTGTTATACATGAGCAGAAGAACTAGTCCTGCTGTGTCATTGTTTGTTCTCTGTGTGTGGCTGGCATATTTTATAAGTTGTTGATTAACTTTAAATGTTGGCGTATTGATCATATGCAAAGATAGAGATGCTGAAAACACTCATATACCTTTCTATTAATTGCACTAGTTGGATGTATGCGTGATGTAGAATTCTGGGAACTTATAAAAGAGACTTGAATTATATATTCTTCTAAGTGAAATTAGCTCTTGCACAGAAATCATCAAGTAGTGGTCAGACTGTTCCGTGTTTTGTTGTTGTCCGGCAGACACAGGCAAAGAACTCTGCCATAGAGTGAAGAGTATCGTTATCTGTCATAGACGCAGTTTTCACGTACCTGATTTTCTTTTGTGGAGGAAGAAAATTACTATTTTTGATTCAAAGAGAAATTTTGTGTGTCTAGTCTTCTTACTTATGGTTGAGTTTCATTTATTTCATTATCTAAAAATAAGTTCTCGAAACTTCCCGTTATTGTGGTCTTAACTAACTTATTGTCTTACCACTTAGTCCTGAAAATTTTGACTCGTATAAACAGTAAGATTGAATAATGTTTTATATATATACCCAGATTGTTTAGGAATAGCAGTTCTAATATGTACGACGACAAGGTAAAGCAATGGGTTAACTTACTTACATGCTGGATAATTTACCTGCATCTTGAAATACCACACTGAGACCAAAATCTAATGGAAGTAAAAAAATATAGTAATAGTAATCTCTGCATTGTGCAAGTTTCATAACATACAAGTCATTCCACAAGTTAAATTGTTCAACTACTTTATTATTTAAATTGGCTCTCCAGTTATGTATAAAACTGGAGTGATTCATTGGTCAGTATAAGTTGGAATATTATCTTCCCTTTAATGTGAAGTAAGTATAATCTTTGATGTGGGATACCAAATGAAGGTTATACTTTACCTGACCAAAATCTGGCATCTCATTATTCTTTCGGTCCTTTTTCCTGTTCCAGCATCTACCGAAAAAGACCACTATTCGTTATTAATTCAACTCTGAAACCAATAGATTAGACAACGTAACTTAAGCGTATGTATTTGTTTCCAACAGCTTTATTATTCTGTTTGTTTCACTTACTCGAGTTTGATTTATTTCCGTAAAACTTTCCCTTCCAAGCCACTTGTTGTACGTGGTATTTCCTGATGGTAATTAGAGTACCTGAATACCGCTTTCTCTAGATATCACTATGTGAACCCAACCATAAAAAATCTATATTATTTAGGTGCAAATGTCTGCCAGTGGTATTAATGATAACGAATTATTACCTGCTACTATAATATACGGCTAACAACCAGAAGAATGGTGAGGTGTCAACCAGAACCTTTATGAAATGTAAGTTAGGTGAAAATGTATATATCACACGGTCATCCTTTGAGAGCGTCGAATTTAACAACATCTCTCTGAAATACAACTCAGTTTCTCAGGAAGTGAAAGTTACGACGCTGTTGTTTGGAGAGCAAAGCAAGTGTTTATTTTTTGTTTAATTTTTAAAATCGCTTGTTTGTTTTCTCTCACAGTTCTTATTGTACTACTGACACGAAACCCTAGGTACCTGACACAAAGCGCAGAAGGCGGACGTCCCCAAACTTGTTCACCTGGTATGCATACGCTATTATTAACAAATACATTGAATTGACAGAATGATCAAGCGTATTTTTTGTAATCTACTATATAACAAAGTTAGGCATTCCTGCATATGTCTATAGCAAACAACTTAGAGAGTAGCGTCTGTGCTATACAGATAACCTTAAGATTTAAAAGAGCAATAAAGACACGTCATTTGCGACATAATGCTGGTTATTCTTTCAGAACAGCTGCTAGCATCTATCTTATATAATTAGGCCACTTTCCCAGATCAGTCCTTGATTAATAGACTCAAATCTTCACATAACTAGACTCGCTCTTACACAGTTAATGCTCACCAGTTAAAAGTAATGATTAGAGGTAGGAAATTATAAGCTTTCGTGGTGGTAGGTCAATTCTTTGTCAAGTATATAAATTATTGGTCCGACAACAACAAAAATAATAGTTAGCAAGCTGTGTACGAATTGTTTCAAAGCAGAAAAATCTCACGTCGTTAATGTTTTAAAACGCATCGAATGTTTTATGTAATCTTCTTTGTTATGTCTATTGTAATGTGGCTTTAAGTTTAATACGGGGTTGTTTCTATGAGATTGACTGGGACATTCGCAATCACATTAAAAAGCCACTAGTCATAAATGTGGCGCGAATCACAGCGCTCCCGCCTGGCAGCCTGCCAGATCACACTTGTACCTGAAGTACGTGTACACAAATACCAACCAAAAGTTCCTTGGCGTCGCATTGGTTCGTTTGAGGCGATGGTTTAGAAGCGGGAATCGGAGCGACCAACGTTAGGTTTTGACGTAATGATTCCAGGGCACTCTCGGTACCCAGTGTCTATCTCTCATTCCCACTTCACTTCAGACCCCCGGTTCGTTTATTCCCCTCCCGAGCAATAAGATCGGGCTATCTCGCAGGCGCTAACACTCTTGCGTTAGTTTGCTAGTGTCTTAGCGAGGGAAAGGTGAACTGCGCGTGCCGCAAGCGCCATGTTCTTAGGTCTCCGCACGCTGAGTGATGATGTAGATTATAGCGAAAACAAGCATGTGTGTCCATGGTTGATGCACTTTCTGTCATCGCGACCGGCAGTCACTTGTTTGGCGGCGAACCTACAGCTTCTGTCTAGCCAAAAGCTCATGGCATGGGTATAGAGGTCCAGCCCGTCCCCTGCTTCGTTCTGGATAATAAGGTAAGTAAAATTAAGATCGGGGCTTAAAACTACATAACGCAAGTGTTACAAACAGCATAACCAGTAATGTTTTAAATGTAATTTGTTCCTACAATGTATGATTAGGTAATACGTTCTCTACTTCTGAATAATCTACTAACTGAAAAAAAAATATGTACGATTTATTTCAGTTTTAATGTCACAACTGTTCCTGGAACACTTTTTCTAAACTCTCAAAGTTCATACTCATCATTTACATAGAATGATGTCAGATTTTTAACAGTCCTTTCGCACTCCGATAGAGTAGTAACGAGATAATTACAAACAACTGAAATAAACAGAAACGTCGCGTGCGTACGTGTTACACATACTTATAATTCTATTTTCTGTGCAAGTTCGTTTAAAAGTTTAAACAAAACTTAGTGTACCAGACTCAGGAAAGTAAGTCGATTGTTTTTTATATGAAGTAGTACTGTTGCTGGGTTGAGGGATTCTCGCTGCGAATCTACACCTATGTATTTTTACATTTAATATATGAAATATGGAGAGAACTTTTATTGTATTAATATTAAATTTCGACCAAAGCAAGCTAGTAAAGACCTGAGCTGGTTAAATAGAATATTATAGCTATATTATTTAGTTGCACGAAGTTGCCTAATACTACAGGCATATATTTTTTTAAGAGAAGTAAATTTATTTAAGAGCAAACATTTGCGGAATTTCGAAGAGATAAATTTGGATTGCTGTAATATTTCTCTGACCTTACAATAGGTGGCGGCACTATGTGTTGAATATGCTCTGTATCTTTGCATGCAATAATTGTAAAATTGTTGTGTTAATTATAATTAAAAAATGACACTTTTTCATTATGCTTTATTTTCTAGTTTAAAGTTTTTTTCACCTTGATGCTAATACGATAAAAAGGTAAGCCTTAACGTAACTGTGAAAAAGAAAATTGTGCAGTACATAAAAGTGTCCCGTTATTTAAGTTAAGCAGTGCTTTAATTGTGGGCATTACATCTGTCTTAAGTATGTATGCTCATACAAATTAAACAGCATAAATTTTTATGATCATATTAATCTCTGGTTTCACTAATATCACAGTTCAACATTTTGTAGCTTATCGTTGGATTAATTAATATCACAATTCAACAAAAAACGTTCCATTATATATAGAAATATTATTAATTTACTGGCTTCTAGTGTAAAACTGTACCATGAAATATATTAATAGGCTGGTTTCTGGTATAAAATCGGACCATGATATATATTGATAGACTGGCTTCTGGTGTATAACAGTTCCATTATTTATACAGACTTATATCAATATACCGGTTTCTGGTGTAAGACCGTACCAATATGTATACAGACTTATATTAATATACCAGTTTCTGGTATATAACTGTACCGCGAAATAGGCCCTTATTTTATTCATCCTTTTATGTATTTTTAAAGTATTACATATTAGCTTGTTTTAAATATTTTAACCATAGATATCCATTTGTGTAAAACTGGAATGCTGTTGTATGCGTTGTTCATGACCGTATATTTAAAAGTTTCAATGTAAAAATATTAGCAAGAGTTTAAGTTATAACTGAGAAGTTATTGTGACAAGAGCGACACATGTTTAAACAAGTGCCTTGGAAGAGTGTGTAACGATTGGTGTAATACAACACGTCCTGTCTATTTCGTTAGTGCGGAGTTCTAAACAGTACACTAGAGCGTACACGACAACAGCGTGTTATGTATAACACGCGTTTACTTTCCGATTAAGCATCATGTGAATGGCGTATCTTATCTTTTTTCAGAGATTCTAGTACTTTGTGTTGCTGGCTTTGTTAAAATTCGAGATATATGTAGTAGTACTGAAATTATTTACTTCTTATAGATATAGACTCTGTTCAGCAAAAATATATTTATACATCATTAGTGTTGTACAGTATAGTAGTATTTAGAATATTATTGTGGCTCTGATTTAAATACAGGTTCATGAACGTCTTTGTACTAATACGGTTTTTTTTCCTCTGGACGACGAAAGAGAAGGTCATCAATTAAGAAAAAAAAAACATCTTTGAAAAAGAAATCCCTGGCAGCATATAAATATAAACGATTGGTGAAGTTGTTGTAACTAATGCTATTGTGTTGTCGATTAAATAAAGCTGTAAAACGTACGAATGAATATGTTGTAAAGGGTCATATAAAATAAATTGACACTTCTTGAATTTTAAAACCAAACAAATATCAAACATATAAAAATCAACTAGTGGAATCAGCGTTGCTGTTGGATAGAAGCCAATATTTAAATAGATACAAACATAAAAAATCATACAAATAAGAAACCAACATTTACACAATTAAGAAGTGTTCATCCGTGCAGTTAAGAAACCAATAATGCTCATACTGGAAAGAAGCTAGTATTATTCCAAAGAAAATACATTCTGATTGGTCGGAAATAAACCAGTATTCAATGAAATGTGAAATAAATTGGTGTCTAAACATGTGAAAACCAAAATGACAACAATATTTGCTTAGATAAAGATAACGTAAAAATACAACAATGTTACTTGCACTTACAAAAACAGGTAATTTGTATAAATAAGAAAGAACCAATGTATGTACACATTCGTACAGGTTGAAAATAACTATATTTATAAAGATATAAAAACATATTAGCATGAAAACTAAATATTCAGCCTGAAAAAAAAACAACAACAACAATTACGTAGATAAAAACCAACTTTCTCATCTGTTGAAAAAAATAGTTTTTCACTTAGACAGGAAATTAACACACATAGGTAAGAAATAAATACTCACAGGTAAGAAAGTAGCATTCACATAGGTAAGAGAGAAATCAAAACACGGGTGCCTATGTCATTTTTGGTTTCTTACCCGTGTTTTGCTTTCTTTCTTACATATGTCATTTTTAGTTTCTTACCCGTGTTTTGATTTCTCTCTTACCTATTTGAATGCTACTTTTTTAAAGAAGTCAGTATTTACACAGGTAAACAACCAATAATAACATAGGTAAGAAAGAAGTCAATATTCACGCAGGTAAACAACCAATAATGACATAGGTAAGAAAGAAGTTATTACTCACACAGGTAAGAAACCAAAAATGACATGAGTAAGAAAGAAGTCAGTATTTACACAGGTAAACAACCAATAATGACATAGGTAAGAAAGAAGTTATTATTTACAGAGGTAAACAACCAATAATAACATAGGTAAGAAAGAAGTTATTACTCACACAGGTAAGAAACCAAAAATGACATGGGTAAGAAAGAAGTCATTATTTACACAGGTAAACAACCAATAATGATATAGGTAAGAAAGAAGTTATTACACACACAGAGGTAAGAAACCTATAATGATATAAGTAAGAAATAAGTCAGTATTCAAACAGGTAAGAAATTTGTAACGACATAGGTAAGAAAAAAGTCAGTATTTACATAGGTAATAGGTAAGAAAACAATTACATAGGTAAGAAAAAAGTCAATACTCATATAGGTAAGAAGCCAGCATATGTATAGAATACAACATTACGCTCAGTAAGTAGGTAAGAAACCAATATGTTTATACAACTAAGAACACAGCGTTCACGTCAGTAAAAAATTAATATTCTCATAGTTAGTTACGAACACAACATTTAGATACGGAGGAAAGAAACCATTATTCACATACGTGAAAAATCAGGAAGTAGGAAAGAAAGACCAAGGGAAAGGAAATTGCGTACTTGGTGTCCAAACAGGATGTATGTTTGTGGTTGCTCATTTATATACTTATTGGGACGTATAATTTTTATTCTTAATATTTATATCAAGAATCGTAAAATATCGGAAACAAATATAACCTATGTGTGTGTGTGTTGAGCTGGAAAATTATTCCACATTGCTTACACACCCGTTCCTTTAGTCACTTCCGGTATGACGTCATAAGGACACTGTTGAACTATATAAACAACAATACGGAAATTTGAAGTGTTTTAGTAAGCTTTCATTCCTAGTTAAAACCACTGTTTCACTGCTCCAATTTCAAAATTATACCAAATTTGCAAAGGTTCTAGGCAATGCTGGGCTTATAAACTAATGCTATAAATGGGGATGTGGGCTGACCTTTCCACTATTTTTGAGACGTAGCATATGAACCGTTACTTTCGTTTGTTATCAGCTTCACGCAATTTCCTATCGACCTACCCGCTCAGTTGAGTCTTCATTTTAACAAGATAAAATTGAAATGGTTGCCGAACTTGTACCATTCGTTTGACTGGGAAGAAGAAGTCTAAAATGCTCCTCACCCTCCCAAGTCTTATATCTTATTTTTCAGGGGAGATACATCCGAGTTCTTCTATTCAAATGTATCTAAATTGGTTCAGCTGGTTCTCAGAACAGCTTGTGATACCTAGACAGAC